TACTTATTTTTCCTACTTTGATTTTTTAAAAAATGGGTCCCACCACTAACTCTTTGACCTAGTCAAAGAGATATACAAATATTACATAAACGATATCCTCGAATTACATGAGAATATATCCAAATTTGAATATTTGATGTTATTGCCGAATTTGTTGATATCAATATCATGATATTTTTAAGATTATAGACATATCCCTTAAATTGGGAAACTATTCTAATTTGACAACGTTCATTGGTTGATGGTACGATCGCACAATCTCATGCCTAGGATACGACTCGCGATCGCACGAAAAATTAATCAATCCGATCCTTATGCCGTAGAATTCGATTTGCCAGTTTTATTTGTTTCCAAATTTGAATTGACTAAGATATTTGGTGCTTATCTTTTGTGATTTGATGCCTATTTCTTGCTATGAATGGTTATCTTATCTTGATTTGTTTCCCTTATTTGAAAGATACAAAAAGATTAAATAAGATTTCTAGAATAGGTTTTAAATTATCTTTACTTAATAGATTAGAATAAATTTATTCTAGATAACCTTACTTGTTAGGATAGATTCTGAAATAAATTAGAATAGATTTAGATATGATTTTCATGCTAAGTTAGGATAGTTTGGGTAGATTGCATATTTAGATAGATTCCAGAAGATTAAGATAAGTTTACGATTGAAATTATGATTCGACTTAGTTTCCTTCCTAGTTTAAATTAGATAGTATCTTGCTCTAGATAGTTGATTTTTAGTAATTTTTTAATTACGAATTTAAGAAAAATCTCAAAACTATCATCTTAGGATAAATTAGATTTCTTTCCTAGATAAAATTGCATGTTTAAATAATGGTAATTTTTAATTACAAATTTTAACAAAAATACCAAAAATGTCATATGCATGTCATATAGTTTGCATGTTGAGTTCATTTAATCAAGATTGCATGATGCATATTTTAGTTTTCAATTTAAGATAAAAGAAAACCTAAAAAATAATTGCTTTGTTTAGTGAGTTTGATTCCATCTCCTTCTTGCAATTTATTGCTTTGTTTTCCTTTAATGTTACATTAATGGTTGCGCACTTGCATGATTACCTAATATGTTAGTAGCTGGGTTAAAATCGATTCAAGCTGTCTGCTAAGAAATATTTTGTCGAAAATAAAAGATAAATGTTTTGAAAGGGTGTTAAAGTAATATAGCATAATCAAGTTCCTGAATCCATTTAATCTCTAGATCGTAGAGGTTAAGTATACTCGCACACTTTACTTGGGTTTCTGATCAGCCCAAAAAAATTGATTAGTGGCGACTCCTAAATGAAAATGATTTGCATGACAATAACTTGAATCATAAGTTGCGAATTGGTATGGGCTTGGGAGGGCCCGAGCGAAGTTTAGACTTAGTAATCCATTAGCCAACCCCTAGATGGTGCTCCTCGAGGGGGTCACGACAGTTATGCAAGGTAGGTTCTAGATTTCAAAAAATGGGGAATAGATTATGACGGGTAGGTTCCAAGTGGAACCTAGAACCGCTCATCCCTACATGATGCCATGTCACTTTTTCATTAAAAGAAATTAGCTCAATAAGATTAGAGTGCATCAATTGCAAAAGAAAAAAGTTTAGTTTATTGAGTGATTGAAAGTGAGTGGTTAGATTACAAATAGTACTAAAGTTCAAGGACTACGTGTGAAATTCAACTCAGTTTATGCAATTTGATTGATATTTTCCACTAAACAAATAAAATTTGAAGTGATGAAAAGGAAAAAAGAAAACTTAAATATATATACATCTTCAATTACATTAAAATGATGTACCAAGAGAGAAAAACACTACTACTAGAATTCGCCACGTGTCGTTGGCCCGATGCTAAAGCACCATTTTGTAGTGCGAGGGCGCAAATTCGATTCTAACCGCTCCACCCGTTTGTTTTTACAATTTATTTTTTCAATTTCTCTACCTTTTTATCCGAAATCTTTTGTTTGTTCATTTTTCATGAACTTTTTAATTCTCAGTCATTTTATAGAAAAATTGGCACTTCTATTTATTCTATTTGTTAAGCTATCTTTTCATCATAAAAAAGTTATCTATCTTTTTTTCTCTGTTCAATCCGTTTGTGTGTCGACTTATTAGCTTAAAATTGCTTATTTACCTTAAATTTATCTCAATTAATCCTCTTTTGATAAATTCAAGTATAATCAAATTATTACATGTTTCTCATGGCTAAGATAAACAGTATTTTTTTTGACAATATTAGCTGATTTTTTTTTGGTTTTGTTTTTCCTTATCAATCCATTGACGAGTCCTTTTATGAGGCTTTAATTTTATTTTTCGCGTTAATTTTATTTTAAAGTTAATCCTTAAAAATTACTTATAACTAAATATAAGAATAAGTTAATTATTGTAACTCAGAGATAAAAGGTAACAGGGTAAATGTTATCATCAAATGTTATTGTGCTATTTTTTTGTAATCACTCATTAATCACGATTTAATGAGAACTTAAAATGACATCAAAAATGTTAGGGAAATTTTCAATTTGGGGCCCAAAGTGAGCCCATTTTCTTAAAATGGGGTCTCAAGTGCCATCAGTCTCAAAATGGGATCTCAAGTGCCCAATCAGTCTCAATTTGGTACCTGGGTTCGCCGGCCGGCCAAATAGTCGCCGCCGGCGAGTTTTTACTGTTCCGGTGCCGGAACAGTAATTTTTTACTTTTTAATTTTTTTTTTTTTTGCTTTTTTTTTTCTCTTCCGTCCGCCGGCCCCGGCTATGGCCGGCGGAGGCTGCCCTCGCCGGCGTCGGGGAGGGCCGCCCCGGCGAGGGCCGCCCAGCCTTCCCCGACGGCCCTCGCCCGACGCCGCAGGCGAGGGTTGCCCTCGCCGGCGTCGGCGAGGGCGACCCTTGCCCTCGCCGACGTCGGGGAAGGCTGGGCCGCCCTCGCCTCGGCCCGGGCGGGCGGGGCCGCCCTCGCCTCGGGTCGGGCGGGCGCCGCCTCCCTCGGGGCGGGCGGGGGGCAACCCATGCCCTCGCCAACGTCGGGGAAGGCTGGGCGGGCTCTCGCCGACAGCCGGCGAGGGCGACCCTCGCCAGATCCCACTCAGCCTCCTCAGCTCCTCCTCCGACAGCCTTAGCTCCGCTAGCGTGGGCGCCGCGGCCCCCTTCTCTTCACACCTCCTGCTCTCCCTCTCCAGCCCCTCTCCTTCCTCACCTTCGCCTCATTTCGCCGTACCTCTCCACGGCCGCCCCGAGCCGGGCTCGGGACGGGGTTCTCAGGGCGTGCTCTAGCTCGTGTCGATCGTGTGGTTGACGCGGTGCCCTCGTCGAATCTAGCGAGGGTCGCCCTCGCCGGCGTCGGGCGAGGGCCGCCCAGCCTTCCCCGACGTCGGCGAGGGCAACCCTCGGCGGGCGGGCGAGGGTCGGCCCGCCCGCCCGCCGACCAAGGCGAGGGCGGCCCTCGCCTCCGCCGTCGGCGAGGGTTGCCACTCGCGCCGGCATCGGCGCGGGCGGCCCTCGCCCTTCCCGACGTCGGCGAGGGCAAGGGTCGCCCTCGCTGACGCCGGCGAGGGCAACCCTCGCCTGCGGCGTCGGGCGAGAGCCGTCGGGGAAGGCTGGGCGGCCCTCGCCGGGGCGGCCCTCCCCGACGCTGGCGAGGGCAGCCTCCGCCGGCCATAGCCCGGCGGAGGGAAGAGAAAAAAAAAAGCAAAAGAAAAAAGCAAAAAAAAATTAAAAAGTAAAAAATTACTGTTCCGGCCACCGGAACAGTAAAAAACTCGCCGCCGGTGACTATTTGGCCGGCCGGCGAATCCAGGTACCAAATTGAGACTGATTGGGCACTTGAGACCCCATTTTGAGACTGATTGCACTTGGGACCCCATTTTGAGAAAATGGGCTCACTTTGGGCCCCAAATTGAAAATTTCCCAAAATGTTATTTTCTTATTTCATTAAAGAAGATGATAATGTAGCAAATTTTGCTTGCTATCTAAACAATGTGAAAGCTACTCGAAATATTAAAATAACAAGAAAGATGGAAATGTCATTTATCTATACAGTCACTTTGATTTAATTTTTTGTCGCACAGTTGGAGAGGACTGATAAAAAAAATGAAATAGTTACTAGATAAATAAAAATAAAAATAAAAACAACTTGCACCATTTTCATACTCTCTTTACTCTCCCTGCTATACGGTCCGAGAACAGACGGAATGGAACTAATCATGCAACGCTTTTGATGGTTCTTGCTTTTGGGTTCTGGGTTTTTCGTTTTCACTTTTAACATTTGAAATTGATATTTTACATTATGTTGAATCCTTGAATATTTGGACAGAACTAATTAATAACATCTCAATCGATCTTAACATTTTTCACAATTTTATAATAAGCAAAACGTTTCTTTACAAAAATAAAACAAATTGACAAAAGGTCTTACCTAGTAAAAATTCATTTGTCCTTATTTCTTTAGGAATATGGTTATTCATGATATGGTCGTTTATTTGGTTTTTCCAATGAGTCTCGATCATGCCTAGTTTGTTATCTCTCCTTGAATATGACAATTTCCCAGCTCGAACATCCGGTGCATCTATGGACTCGCACGCCTCTTTCTGGCCATCAGTGATCACCTTCCTCCCGCGATCGCCTCTTCTTTCAACTTTCAAAATCCCTCGTGTCTCAAATTTTTCTAATAGTTTTATTGTTATTCAATATTTCCTTATCATCTACTTTATTCTTTTAATGTCACATAGGGCGCGACATTGCATTTAACAGCAACTTGACTGGCCGTATTAGCAATTCCATCCATAATTTCGACAAAAGGCGCTGACTCAAATAAAATTTCATATATTTCAAAGATTACAATATGCAAAATTATTGAAAGACCAAATGAAATATCTATAATTGAAAAGCATTTTGGAATCACGGGAAGAATCTCTCTCTCCATCTAGTCACGTAACAACTCTTTTCATTTCTCTGATTAATTCACGCGAGTCCAAATTAGCATGATTTGACAAGACAAGACGGTAACAGCGAGAGGGATTGGACGAAGGTACGTGTCCTTAAGACACGACCCCCGTCCCCCTCGCCCCGACCCATCTCTTTTGGCCAAACTGCTCTCGTGATCGGCCCCCGAAACAAAACGGTACGAAAGGAAACCGACGATGTCTGAAACCGGTCCCTCCCCTTCTTCCGCCTCCGCGCTCCGCCTCTCGACACGTGAAGCGTTTACACCGCCTCGCCTCGGAGGGACTCCATCAGTCGCCGTCACGTGCATGGCTGGGGGGCACTGATTCCCGCGCCCCCACCCTCACCTGCCTGCCTGCCTGCCTGCCTCCCTCTCTGTCTCGTTTTGGAGAAATCTTTTCTTATAGATTTCATTCAATCCCTGTCGTTCTCGACATGAATTATCTATTGCGAAAGAAGGCTAACGATGTGAGAATTATAAACGTAAGAAACATAGATTTGCATCTTGTGAAGTTACTTTAAAATGATTGGGGACATGTACCGATGAGTTTTACTTTTTTTTTTACTTAATCTGAATCTGATAATGGATGCATTGTAATTTTTGCTTAGCCCAAAATATCTGAAACTTTCACAATGTACGTATATTGTCATGTAGATTCACATATACTTTTTTTTATAATTTTTTAAAGTTCAAATAATATCCTGGACTTTGATGGAAAAACAAAAGTTTTGTTTTCTAAAAGATATAAACAAGCAAGCTTTAAAATGTCCGTACTTTTTTTAAAATTATGTCCTTAAAAAATATCAGCTTAAACCTTATATATCCCCTTCCTCTCTAACTAAGTCAAAGAGAGCTTGTGACGGTCATAACCCTATGGCCGCAGAGGTTGCGACCATCGCGAATGCCCGCCTGCCTTCTTGCCCTTACGCAACTCCAAATCTAGGTTGCTTTGAGATCGAAAAATTTCGGATCGGGGATCACGACCTCATATCGAGGATGAGAGAGAGAGAGAGACACGTAACTTGCCCTACGCAACTCCAAATCTAGGTTGCTTTGAGATTGAAAAATTTCGTATCGGGGATCACGGCCTCATATCGAGGATGAGAGAGAGAGAGAGAGACGTAAGGCGGGTGAGCGGCACTAATCACGGTGGGTTTGCAGCCATCCTTCAAATTATAGAGAATTCCAATCCATAGTTCTTATAATGATTTTGTTACTGGGTGAGTGCTTCAAGAGCACTTTTTAAGCAATCGTTTAAATAATGATTTTTGTTTTTCCACTATAATGATTTGTGTCGTGATATAGGTATCTAATTAATGTCGTTTTCTTTTTCAAGGATTAAGTAAGGTCTTTGATTCTCATAGTATTTATAAGAAAACTGTGAATAATACAATTGATTCCTCTTTGGAAAAAGTACTTATTGCTTTCTTTGGAAAAAAAATAAATAAAAAGAAAAATTCAACTTAACTAAGGAATCATGTGAAAGACCATTCAATTAAATTGGTTCATAAGTTTACTTTTTGGATATTAATTATTTCTTGAATACTTTTTTGGATATTCCTCATATATTATCAATAAGATTAAATGCTGACAATTTTTTTAAACTTTGATAAATATAGCTACTTTAATACAAATTATGTAAAAATGGAAGAGATGCCAATAACAAAAAGTTCAAGTGACAACAATTGAATACTGCTTATATAAGTTTAAATTTGTGAATAAATGTAAAAAATATGTAATTAATAACAGTAATTTTTAGAATAAATAGATAAATAAGGTAAAGTAATTGAAATTTCACATTTATTACTTAAATTTTTTCCATTATAAATTAACCTTAATAAATATCGTTTCCTTAATATTCTTAGTTAGTAATCATCCTTTAACATTGATTAACAATTTAAACAAATGCCATGTGTATCAATATCTTTTCATTTGACATTTTGTTATTAAGATCTATTCCCCTTTTTTTTTTTTTTATCTTTCTTTGTTTTTCTTAAAAGTCCTAATTTAATTTTATTAAAGTGGCTACATTCATCAAATTTGAATAATAACTTATTTAATTCCATTTATGATATTTAGTTTCTTATCAATCAATAGTATTGTAGTTTTTTTATTGGTTGTTTTTTAAGTATAGTGGGTAGGTGGTGTCCCAACTAGTTTCAGCTCATCACGACTTGTCTACATCCTTAAGGATCTCAAGGATGGTGCATTCAAGATTTTTTTTTAGTGGTGCTTCCATATAAAGCTTGAACTCGCGAGCACGTGAAGGAGAAAACTCCATTACCATCTATACTAACATGTTGTTGGTTTTAAATAATTTAGTTATCGCTTTTTATGTATTTTTTTAAACTGTAATTGAGAGCGAAAAGTGCATTTCCTTAAGAATCAATAATACGGAGGAGTTTATTTAACTCCTTTAAAATCATCGTGCGTCGCGCATAATGATTAAAAAACTACAGCGGGCGATTAATAGATGTAACAAGATGAAAGTTTAAAGGATTAATAAGTAATGATCCAAAGTCGAAGACAAACGGGTACAAAGCTTCAAAGTTAAATGCGATTTCTTAATGTAATATTCCCTTTTAAGCAAAACATCAATTCGTTGGACCAACAGTAACGACTGCAAGGATCTGAGGTCTCTTCTTTCACGTCTCTCTCATTCCTTTTGTCCTCTCTTATCTGCTTGTCATTGATCGATCAATCAATCTCTCTCTCTCTCTCTGTGTCCGTGGAGTCTTTCTTTCTTGTTTAACTGCAGTCTTGGCTCTGTGAACTGTCACTGTTGTCGAGACAGAGAAGAAGAAAAGAACAAAGAAAGATTCACGAAAAAGGGGTTTTGTAGTTTTGTTTTCTGGTCGCAACCAACAAATATCGTGACGTCATAATTATCACTTTCTGGTTCGCTTAGCAAAGATGCTGTGTGTGGATCAGATTGAAGTGAAAACGATTCCCCTCGAATTGCTTAAGCAATTGGGAATAATCATTTGGTTTGGCGATTTAAAAATCAATTCTCGTGGCAGAACAGTCACATGCATGGTGATGCAGGTCCAAGAGATCCAGCAATGACCAGATTTTCTCATGTACGGGGGCAGGATTCTTGGCAAAACGTTTGGATTATGCCCCAAAAGAGATATTGAAGATGTCCACTTGAATAGTAATGGTGAAAAGCGGATGATGTGTTATCAAAATTAGCATGGGGGAGAATTTGGGCCTAAGTAAGAGCCCGTTTGATATAATTATAACGGAATTGTAATGTTGCAGTTGTGTTTTTGAGAGACTAATTAGGATAATTCTTTGGTAGGAAATTTAGCTGTGGAAAAGAGATGTCGTAATTTTTATAAGGTATTTGGCAAACAATTCGCTACTAAAGTAATAAGTTACGACAGCTAAATCATCCCAACTTTAAGGTATTGCGGCATACAAGTAGCAACAATTCACGTCTATTTGGCATAGCTATATGGTTGTGTCGTGAAGTACTGAAAAATGTGTGCTCATATTTGCTCTGTCGCTATTGGTTTCACTTGACTTTTGAACCGAACTCCGATAGCAATTGTTATGAAATAAGGTATGTGATTTAATCAATATGGCATATATCCATGAGAAGATCGGCAGCAATTTTCATCATGGAGTCCGCCAATACAAAGGAAACTACTTTATTACATCAAATTAACTCATAGACAAGCTCCCTTTCTGACAATTCTCATAAAAGTTCACTCTAATCGCATAATGAACTCTCTCAAATCCTCTCGACTACTTACAATCACACCATCTAACGTATTTAGAGAGAGCTAAAACACGAAACAATGTAGTGTAATTTGCCACAAACCTACTCTAGACATGTCCAAGACGCCAACTAGGCTCAAGTAGCTGCTTGCCTGAAATATAGATGTCAAGGATACCTCTACGGTATTTGATGATATGATGTCGGATACTCAATTCAACCACCCCCGCACCCCAACCAGACATGGTTGACCGCTAGAGCCCCCACCCAATACTTGACTGGTCTTGGTGGTCTTGGTTGGGTGTCGTGCCTAGATGCACATCATATTGGATGCTGCTCTATAGGCACATGAGTCTGATCATCCAGACGCTCATTTTTTTTTCTATTTATGCATCTTCCTCTTTCAAGCCATTTCACAGTACTAGGGACGAGTCTACATGAATTTGGCTCAAGCTAGAGACGTAATCTCAATACAAAATGTGTTATGATTGTTATTGAGCTCATTGCTTACTTAATTAAATACAAATATCTGTCCAATGTGAAGGAGGAAAATGATAAAATTGATGAAATATGTGTTTACCCCCAAAGTGATTCTTTCTGCATTCAAGTGCAGACATCAAGACATATGTGCATGATGCTTCCCATCCCAAGTCTCTTCAGCACATTACTTTTTCACCAAATTTGTGCATGTGGATATGTTATGCACACCCCACCAGTAACAATTTTACACACTAGACTATAACTCTGTTTTTGTTTTTTGTCAAATAATGGCGCATTGTATGCATTTAAATATAAGATGGAAACCGGCTCCTGCATATAAGACTTTTGGCCAAACAAGCACAGATATGAAAAGGCAAAAAAACAAAGGGAGAGCTCATTATGGACCAGAGACCATAACCGCAAAGCTAGGAGAAAGGTATGGAATGGAAAGGAAAGGAAAGGAAAGGAATGGAGGTGAGAGGAGGCAAATGAAGGGTCAACCGCAAGGTCCGCAATCCATCACCAGAGCCAGAGGCCTCCACCTGCAAAATCGATCATTGTGGGGGCAATTCAGCAAAAGAAGGGTTTGATATTAATAATAGCGGGACAAAACTTTAAGGGCGAAAGAGAAAATTATTAGTAAAATAAGGCCGACAGAGAGTGGGGTTGTCTTGTCAAATCAGCTTCCTTTCAACTCTTCTTCTTGGACCCTTTGACACGTTCAACGGTTCTCTTTCTTGTCTGCTTGCGGTGCTCGGGAAAATTTTTCGTTTAGATCGTCCGACAACTTCACATCACCTTATAAAAGATTTGATTGTTTCCCTATTTATCTTTTTTACTTTTTCGCTTTCTAGGTTGGAGTAAGATTAAAG